TATCTTTCCTCCAGTGAAGGTATTGGGCTCTTTTGTCAAATATGAGGTCGCTGAATATGGCTGAAGTTATTTCTGGATCTTCTAATCTGTTCCATTGATCCTCAGGTTTGTTTCTTTGCCAGGACTATGCTGTTTTTATCACAGTATCTTCTACAAGGGAAATTTATAGCAGTGAATTCCCATATCAGAAAACAGTATGAGCTCAAAGAAACAAACCAACACTGAATCTCCACTTTCTTGAAAAAGAAGCACAAATCATGCCCAAAATTCATACAAGCAAAGAAATTATAAAGATTAGAGCAGAAATTAATGCAATGGAGACTAAGAAAACAAAACTAAGAAACAATGAATTGAAGAGTTGGTTCTTTGAAAGATTAAATAAAATTGACTAACCGTTAGCCAACCTTATCAAAAAAGAAAAGAAAAGACTCAAATTCATGCAATTAGGGATGAAAAGGGTGAAATCACAACAGATCCTGCAGAAATCCAGAATATCATCAATATTTACTTCGAGAACCTATATTCTAATAAGATGGAAAACACAGAAGTGAACAGATTCCTTGATACATATGAATTACCAAAGCTGGATCAAGAAGATATAAAAGTTCTAAATAAATCAATATCAGTCAACAAAATTGAAGATATAATTAAAAACCTACCAACAAAGAAAAGCCCAGGTCCTGACAGATTCACTGCTGAGTTTCTACAAGAAATTTAGAGAAGACCTACTACTGCTACTTCTCAAACTCTTTAATGAAATTGAAAGGGAAGCAATACTCCCAAACTCATTCCTGAAAGCAAGGAACTAGAGAAGGATGCAACCAAAAAACGATAAATACAAGCCAATCTCCTTCATGAACATAGATGCAAAAGTCTTCAATAAGATACTGCCAAACAGAATGCAGCAAATCATCAAGGAGATTATACATCATGATCAGGTAGAATTCATCCAAGGGATGCAGGGATGGTTCAACATACCCAAATCAATAAATGTAATATACCACACTAACAGAGCCAAGGACAAAAACCATATGATCATCTCAATAGATGCAGAAAAAAGCATTCAACAACGTCCAACACTCATTCATAATTTTTTTTAAAAACCTACAGATTTGGAATAGATGGTCTTTTTCTCAATCTAATAAAAGCAACCTATGACAAACCAAGAGCCAACATCATACAAATGGACAAAACCCAAAATCTTTTGCTCTAAAATCAGTAACAAAACAAAGATGTCCACTGTCACCACTCTTATTCAATGTAGTGCTGGAAACATTAACCAGAGCAATTAGACAAGACAAAGAAATAAAAGGAATAATAAGAAAGGACGAAGTTATCATTATTTGCAGATAACATGATTCCCTACATAGAAGACCCCAAAAATTCCACCAAAAGACTAGATTTAATAACCAAATTTGGTAGTGTAGCTGGATACAAACTCAACACTCAAAAATCAATAGCTGGGCCGGGGATTTAACTCAGTGGTTCTGCTGCCTACCTCAAAAGCGCAAGGTCCTGAGTTCGATCCCCAGTACCAAAAAAAAAAGAAAAAAAATCAATAGCTTTCCTGTACATGAATAACAAACTTACTGAGAGAGAAATTAGGGAAATAGTGCCTTTCACAAGAGCATCCCAAAAAAATGGAATACCTAGGAATCAATCTAGCAAAGGAAGTAAGAAACCTCTACATTTGGCTGGACATAGTGGTACACACCTGGAATCCCAGCACTCAGGAGGCTGAGGCAGGAGGATCACTGTGAGTCCCAGGCCAGCCTGAACTACATAGTGCATTCAAGGCCAGCCTGAACTACATAGTGAGACCCTGTCTCAAAAAAAAAAAAAGAGAGAGAGAGAGAAGAAAAAGAAAAAAAGACCTCTACCCTGAAAACTACAGTATTCTGAAAAAGGAATTCAAAGAAGATATCAGAAAATGGAAAGATATCCCTTGTTCTTGGGTAGGAAGAACCAGTATAGTTGAAAATGGCCATACTTCCAAAATTGTTATACAGATTTAATGTAATCCTGATTAAAATTCCAACAGTATATCTCACAGAATTAGAGAAAACAATCCTAAAATTCACTTGGAACTAGAAGAGACCTAGAATGCAAAAGCAACTCTGGGCAACAAAGGCAAGGTTGGGGGCATCACAGTCCCTGACTTGAAATTACACTACAAAGCTACAGTGATAAAAATACTATGGTATTGACAAAAAAACCAAAAAAACACACCCGGGATCAATGGAACAGACTAGAAGATACAGAAACAATTACAGATATACTCAGCCACCTTATCTTTGATGAAGCAGCCAAACACCTTCAGTGGAAGAAAGACCACTTCTTTAATAAATGGTGCTGGAAAAGCTGGGTTTCCATTTGCCAAAGATTAAAACAGGATGCATATATTTCACCATGCCCTAAACTCAAATCAGAATGGATCAAAGATCTAAATATTACAACCCAAACAATAAATCTGCTGGAAGACAGTATAGGTAGAACTCTCAAAAACATTGGTGTAGTCAAAGACTTTATTAACAAAACCCCAATCCCACAGGAACTATCACAAAGAATGAACGACTGGGACCTCATCTTACTAAAAAGCTTTTGCACATCAAGAGAAGCCACCAACAGAGTAAAGAGGCAACCCACAGCGTGGGAAAAAATTTTTGCCAGCTGTTGCTCAGACAAAAGACTACTATCTAGAATATATAAAGAACACACACAAAAAAATCAGACTCTCCAAATTTAAAGACCCAATCCAAAAGTAAGCATCTAAGAAGTACCTATTCATTTCAGATGTCTAAACCAGACATTTCCTTCTTATAGCCCTATGCGACATGGCAGGATGATGACAGACCTTCCCCTACTGCACAGTGCTCCAGGGTCTCCAGATCCCTGTGTGGTGTCTACCCAGCTTTGCACTGCCAGAAGTGTTGTCTCACATGCTAGTCTTACCTGAATGCCTTCAGAATCATAGGACTCCTAGGACGCTATTCACTTGTGCCTTTTCCAGAGAAGATGGGATATAAAAATAAACTCTATGTTAATCCTTACTGTTGCAAAACCTTTCTTAATGCCCTCTCTTCTAATTTTCCATTAGGTTTATAATTTTCAAGACATCAGTCATTCCATTGACATCCTTTGGTTCTTCTGAAAGTTCCTCTCACCTTACCAGGCCACTTTGCGAAGTAGAGATGCCATGAAAAATAATGGTATCACTTAGGTACTGCATTTCTTGTGCCCCCTGACTCCCAATGCTAGCCTTTCCTCCCAAGAAGCCATCTCTGGTTTCCCTTAGGAGCTCAGGGAGCCCTGAGGTCCTCCATGGTGCTAAAGGGACCCAGGGAACACATCTTATGCTGGTTGGCCAGTAACTACCACAATGGCCAAGATGACATGATTTGCCTATATCTATCCCAGAGAAGGAAGAGATGAATAATATATATGGTCTAGAGAATAGTTAAATAACTTCCTGAAATCTCTTCACTCTTTTCTGGCCACACTGAACAGTGGAGAAACACTTCCCATCCTTTTTCCATCTTTGCTTGGAGCACCCTTCCCCACCCAGTCTTCCACAGAAAATTATCATTTATCCTTCCAGATTGTCTGTTATCATGTCCTGCAGGAAACCTTCCCTATCCCCAGACCTTTGGTTAGACGTCCCTCTTCCCTGCTCAACTTGCGTTAATATTATCTAACTACTCTCTTTCCACATCCAGCACCACGCTGACCTCTACTCCTCACTCACCCTGTCCTCCATAGACACCTAGTAGGGTTCTCTTTATTCCAGGTTTTTTGTTTGTTTGGGGGGTTTTTTGGTACCAGGGATTGAACTCTGGTCCTTGAGCTTGCGCAGCAGGCAGCAAAACCACTGAGCTAAATCCCTGGCCTATTCCAGGTTTTTTAACTTGGACATTCCTTTGCCTGAATCATTCTCCTTCCATGGTCCCCTCCTTCAGATATTTCCTCAACTGTCATCTTCTCAAAGAAACTTTTCTAAGGATCCTATTCAAAATTGCAACCCTACCAAATACTCCACATCCCTCTTCCCTGTTTTTTTTTTTAACCCAGGATTGAATTCACAACCTTGAGCTTGTGAGGCAGGCATGGTGCCACTAAGCTAAATCCCCGGCCCATTTTCTTTCTTTGGTCTGGTACCGGGATCGAACTCATGACCTTGCACTTGCCAGGAAGGCACAGCATCACTGAGCTACATCCCTGGCCCCCTCTTCCCTGCTTTCATTTTGTTTTGGAGTAGGGGGTTAAGACAAGGTCTCACTATGCAGTTCAGACTGGACTTGAACTCACTGTTTAGCCCAGCCTGACCTCAAACCTAGTGCCTCAGACGAATCACCCGCTGCAGACAGGCAGGTCTGTGCACGCCCTACCGTGGTCCTGAGTCGCGTGGAGGACACCGAATCACCCGCTGCAGACAGGCAGGTCTGCCCACGCCCTGCCAAGGTCCCCAGTCTCGAGGAATACGCCGAGTCAGCCCACTGCAGACAGGCAGGTCTGTGCACGCCCTACTGAGGTCCCGAGTCATGCAGAAGACCCCGAATCACCCCGCTGCAGACAAGCAGCCACCTGGTTCCACACTACAAAGACGCAGAGGACACCAGACCAACAGACCAAGGTACTGAGTCCCACTGTTCCTGGCCCAGAGGTAGGGGCTTCTGAGCCGTCAGCCCACTGCTCCTGGTCCAGAGGAAGGGGCTTCCCAGTCACCATCCCTCCCGCTGCTCCCAGCCCAGAGGAAAGGACTTTTGGGCCACCTTCTGTCCCGCTGCTCCCGGCCCAGAGGTAGGGGCTTCTG